GTACAAGATAACCTATGTGATGTTACGGAGGAGGAGGGTGACTCAATACTGTGGATGTTGGTATTGTGGTCTCAGTCGTGATGTAGTTAATTAGACTTGTATATGTCAACGAAAAGATAAAAGATATAAATGAAGAGTACACAATTGCGATGCGTGTGGGTGCACGTGGAGATATATGACACGGCACTAGATTATACTAATTCAATTTCTCCCAGAGACGGGTGCAATCCGAGGAAGTCACAAGGGAGGCGTTAGTATAGTATCCTCTGTGACTGCAAGCCACAAAGTAATGTTTCTCGTGAACCACGCTGCGCTCAACGCCATCAGGATGAGAGTCATGGCTCGCCCCTTCTTCCTCTGCCTCCTGCTCGCCCACCTAGCATGGGGCACGGCCGGCGCCAGCCGCGAAGCCCTGGGACGGCCGGAGCCGCCGCGAGAACGGACTCCGAGGGGCCAGCAGCCCGCGCAGCGGCCGGCTCGCTCCGCCGCCTCGGCGCCCTCGGGTCCCTGGAGCCGCGCGGCCGCCGGCGCCGCGCTGGCACAAAGGCTGGCCGAAGAGCTGCCCCTGGACGTGGCCTCCTACCTGTACACCGGGGACTCCCGCCAGCTGCTGCGAGCCAACTGCTCCGGCCGCTACGAGCTGGCCGGCCTGCCCGGGAAGGCGCCCGCCCTGGCCAGCCCGCCGTCCTCTTTGCACGGGGCGCTGGACACGCTGACCCACGCCACCAACTTCCTGAGCACCATGCTGCAGAGCAATCGGTCGCGGGAGCAGCACTTGCAGGATGACCTGGAGTGGTACCAGGCGCTGGTGCGGAGCCTGGTGGAGGGCGAGCCCAGCATCTCGCGCGCGGCCCTCACTGTCAGCCCCGAGGCACTGTCCGCGCCCGCCCCGCAGCTCTTCCTGCAGGCCACGCGCGAGGAGAGTCGCATCCTGCTGCAGGACTTGTCCTCCTCTGCGCACCATCTGGCCAACGCCACCCTGGAGACCGAGTGGTTCCACGGTCTCCGGCGCAAGTGGAGGCCCCACTTCCACCGCCGGGGCGCCCACTCGGGACCCCGGGGCCTGGGCCACAGCTGGCGGCGCAGGGATGGCCCCGGCGCGGACAAGAGCCACGTCAGGTGGTCCCCGCCGTACCTGGAGTGCGAGAACGGGAGTTACAAGCCCGGGTGGCTGGTCACCCTTTCCGCTGCCTTCTACGGGTTACAGCCTAACCTGGTCCCGGAATTCAGGTAGGGAGGAGGGCGGGGTGGGGAAGGGCGGAAAAGCAAAGTCTCCCTTTTGGTTTTGCAGGTGGGCGCGCGCGTGGGGAAGGGACACTTGGCCGGACCATCTGAGCGTTGCACCGTCGGAGCAGAGGGGCGAGAGGCGCCCACAGCAGCGCCAGGTTCCCTGGGATCCGGTCCCTGCAAGGGGCGAGATGCCCAGGGAACAAAAGGGTTAGTTCTCCGCCCGGTTCCGCGAGCTTGGGGTGTGCCCGCCGGGCGCCGAGCGCGGAACAGCAGAGGGGCTCAGGGAGCTGGAGGAGGAGAGACTTTCTCCTTGCAGCTGCCACTTCGGGGTAGCCTCCGCCTGCCTCCTACGTGTGTAGCACCGGGCATCATAACCAGAGCGTGAAATTAAGGCGGCGCTGTCCCCTGGGCAGGCTGTTCTGTCTCCTCCCCCGTGAGTCAGTCGCTGCCTGCAGGACCCAAAATTCCCAGTGCGGTCGGAGTGCGCCTTCCTTCCACCCAACCCTGCCACCTCCGATCCATCCTCCCTTCTTCCTTCTGTCTCTTGTGTTGAGATTCCCCGGAGGTTCTTGGGCCATCCAGGCGCCCGCGCACTTCATAAGTGAACGACCAGTCTGGGTTATCGCAGGGCAGAAGGCATCCGTTCTGAGGGAATCCACTCAGGGAACTTGGAGGGACCTTGAGGGAGTTTGCGCTTCCTGTTCCAAAGCTTGGCATTTGCGGGGAGGTGAGGGTTTGCTGGTTGGCAGCTGGCAGCCACTGCCCTAGGGAGTGCCTGTCTTTCGGGTGAGGAGCTTCTAGAAGCAGGCTTTGAGAGTGGGGGCGAGGAAGGAGCAGAGAAGGAAGAGGAGAAACTGCGAAGGGGACCTGGGAGAGGGCTGCGGGTTGCCTGGGGTCCTCCCTGATGCTGGTGATGGGCGGGCTCTGGGAAGAGGGGCTTGGGGGTTGAGGTTGCTTCTGTATGTTTTGGGAACCTGGGCAAAGGTTGAGACACGTTGTGTATGAGAGTCGCCCCCTATTCCCCAGCAAGGCGACGGATACCTGGGCAAGTGGGGAGGCTCACCAGGCTCCTGTGTGTAGGCACCATCATTTTTGCTGCTTAGCCTCTCTGGGCCTCAGACTCGGATCTGTCTAGAGCAGGAGTTGAACTTGAGAGTCTGACACACAGCCCCTTTCTTTGTGTGACCATAGGAAGTGTGTGTCCGTGGGTGCACTTCTATCTCTTGTAAAGAGTCTGTCCGAAACCTGATGAACTCTTTCCTACTTTCCAGATAATCCCATTTCCTCCTGATTCCTACAGGATCCTATTAGTAACAGCTGAGCCCTGCTTGGAATCCTTGCCACACTGTTAGTTCAGAAGAGGAAAAACCAGCAGGTGCTGTTCACTGCCTGCACACTGTCTGAAGCTTTTGGATGGCCTTTTCAGAGAGTCTCTGTGTCTGTCTGTCTGGCTACCTATCTCATCTCCATTTCCATCCATCTTATCTACGTATCTATCCACAATCCCTCTATCTATATCTACGTTTTCAATCTTATTATCCATCCATCCATCTAACCTCATTGCTCCTTATCCACCCATTCAATCAATCTTATCTAGCCTTCTAATCTCCTCTCCATCCATCCATCCATCCATCCACCCAATCATCATAATGTAATCTATCCATCATCTATGCATCCTAACATTTACTTTATGTCAGGCTTTGTGCTGACTGCTGTGTGTGTCTTATCTTGGCTGTTCCCACCCAACAACCTTTCATAAATCTTACTGCCTAGCGTTTATTATTTTCCATGTCCTACGGAAAAGAAATGTGAAGCACAGAGGGGTCATGCTTCTTGCCTGAGGTTGCACAGCAATGGAGTAGTGGAGTCAGAATTTAAGCCTGTTTTCTACTTTCAACTGCTAGGTGACCAGTGTTTTATGATCATGCCCTAGGGACGCTGCATACAACGGAGTAGCTGTATCCTGAATTTCTAAGGGTCAGTTGTGGAATGGGAGATGCAAATCTTTCGCTTTCAGAATTGTTTCCTTACCGCTCCGGAAGCACAGTTCCCATAAATGAGCTCAGCGACTTCTGCCAGCTGGATGGAAGGCTGGCGACCCGGGGGTCTGAGGTCATGGGAGTGCACACGCTCCCTACTCACTTTTTGACTGTGTTCAGAAAACAGTTTCTTTCTAAGTGCTTTCCTCGTCTCTGATGGTGTGCTTGAGCCAGGCCACTTAGCATCCAGCTTTCTCCAGAGCTGGCTTGTCTTGGCAGCGCCACAGGGAGCGGAGTCAGTGCTCTCCTGTGGGTGCCCTGCCCCAGTCGTGGGGCCCCCCGTGTGCTGCGTTGAGGATTCACACAGGTGTTGATGAGAGGAACTGGAAGAAATCTTGGAGGCATCACCTGGTCCCACCTGTTGCCCCCTAGACAGAGAAGCGGAACTATGAAGGCGAAGTTCCTTGTCAAGAAATCTCATTCAAGCTTGTGGCAACCACAGAGGAGGCCGCAGGCCCTCTGCCCCTGGTTTGCTCTCTGCTGCATGCGTAGAAGCCCGAGGCTTGGTTCTGTGGTTCTTGGGACCTCTGCATGCAACCTTGGTTGGGGACACTTTATTCTCTGTATCCTTCAGGATACACACATGCAGAGTAGCCTTTAGAACGTAATTACTATTTTTTTAAATATGTATTTTTATAAAAATATTTTACACATTTAAGATAGTATTTAAATGAGTCTCTTCTGTCTCTTCATACTTATACAAGGATAAGATTGTATTTGTGAATTTATTTGAAAGGCAGCTACAGAGAGAGATGAGAGATGGAGAGATCTTCCATCCAACAGTTCACTCCTCAAATGGCTGCAATGGCTGGAACTGGGTCAATCCAAAGCCAAGACCTGGGAACTCCATCCGGGTCTCTCACGTGGGTGGCAGGAGCCCAAGTACTTGGGCCATCTTCTGCCGCCGTCCCAGGTGCATTAGTGAGGAGCTGGAGAGGAAGTGGAGCAGCTGGGACTTGAACTGGCTCTCTGATAGGGGTTGCCAGTGTCCCAAGCAGAGATTGACCCACTGCACCAAAATGTGGACCTCATGATTATTTTTGTTGTTGTTGATGATGTCTTATCATCTAGGCTGTGTATGAGGGATCTTTAAAAAGTTCGTGGAAAATGCAGTATGAAAAAAATTGCGTGAATTTCAAAATCTTTTGCAACAAAACGAACTCATCTTTCAATTCCATTTTTTCATGAAAGTGCTTTTTCATTTAAAGTGCTTCTTACTCTGAAAATTTGCAATGCAAGTGAATCCTATTAGCCAGGGATGGGGCCAGGGTCAACCTCAGATGCATTTTGGAAGCCATGATTAGGATCCTCCATCATGATTTTAGGAAGAGCTTTGAAGATGTAGAACATTATTTGCAGGGGTCAGCGTTGTAGTGCAGTGAGTTAAACCGCTGCTTGCAGTGCCAGCCCGCCACATTGGAGAGCCGGTTCAAATCCCAGCTGCTCTGCTTCTGATCCAGCTCCCTGCCAGTGCACCTGGGAAGGCAGTGGGAGATGGCCCAAGTACCTGGGCCTGTCACCTATGGGGGAGACCTGGATGGGGTTCTTGGCTTCTAGCTTCAGCCTGGCCCAGTGCTGACTGTTTTGGTCATTTGGGGCAGTAAACCAGTGGATAGACAACTCTTTCTCTCATTTTGCCTTTCAAATAAACCTTTAACAGATGTTATTTCCAAGAAGTTTTGTCTGTGATGGAAAATTCATAGAAAAAGATTTACCCGTCAGAGAAAAAACTTTACAGTTAAAATTTTCATACATGATTAGTTAATATTGGCGCAAATCGTCTTTAAGATTTGTATATATAAATTACATTATATTTCTCTTCAGAGAATGTAATTCTAAAACATAGAGTTCAAAAGTAACGTGGAGAACATGGCCAACTACCTTCTATGCTACTGCTTATCCCTGTGAATACAGAGATCTCTCAGAGTAAGTTTTATGCCCCTCTGTTCCAGAAGGACAAAGTATCATCATCTTTAAAACCCAGCGTAAGGCACAAGAGAATGAAATTTGTTTTACGTTTTTTAGGAAGATGGTATTTCCTTTAACGGTTTCCCTTTTTTTAAAATTTTTTGACAGGCAGAGTTAGACAGTGAGAGAGAGGGAGAGAGAGACTGAGAGAAAGGTCTTCCTTTTCCGTTGGTTCACCCCCTAAATGGCCGCTGCGCTGATCCAAAGCCAGGAGCCAGGTGTTTCCTCCTGGTCTCCCATGCGGGTGCAGGGCCCAAGGACTTGGGCCATCCTCCACTGCCCTCCCGAGCCACAGCAGAGAGCAGGACTGGAAGAAGAGCAACCAGGACAGAATCTGGCGCCCCAACCAGGACTAGAACCTGGGGTGCCGGTGCCGCAAGGTGGAGGATTAGCCTAGTGAGCTGCGGCGCTGGCCTTAACTGTTTCTTTTTAAAAAATATATTTGTTTGAAAGACGGAGCCAGGGGCTTCTTCCAGGTCTCCCACATGGGTGCAGGGGCCCCAGGACTTGGGCCATCTTCTACTGCTTTCCTAGGTTCTTTGGAGGGAGCTGGATCGGAAGTGGAGCAGCCGGGACTCGAACTAGTGTCCGTAGGGGATGCTGATGCTACAGGCTGGGGCTTTAACCTGCTGAGCCACAGCGCCAACCCCACGCCTTACCAAATTAAACACAGTCTGTTTTCAATTTGGTTCTGCCATTGGCTCTACAAGTTCCAAAGGGGCTATTTGTTGTGAGTGAACAGGATTCTCTGGCCACTTTCTGGGATATGCATTGGGCAGCAAGAGGGGCTTCCCAAGGCTGCTGGCTCAATGGCCAGGCTGTTTGCCTGCTCCGTGGAGAGGGAACTGATGTCCCCAGATTCATTTCACAGCCTCAACTCCTTCAGCGTCCACAGGCAGCAGTTCAGGTGTTCAGGCGGCCCCCGCTCAGCCTTGAGAGTGCTGCTGAGTTCACCGAGCGCTGCGTTTCAGGCCTGTGTTGTCATATACTGGG